ACACTCCACCTCCCTCTACCCCCCCCCCCCCCACGCTTCTTCTTCTTCTTCTGTCCCAAAAGAAAAAGACAAAGAAAAACAACTCAATTAGTGATTTTTCAATTAGCTTTTGAGTCCACAAATGTAATTATTTACAAGATGCCGAAAGATAGAAGGATGAATTCCTTTACCTTCAAGCGGGCAAACGTATCTCCTTATGCTTGCAGCTCAAAGAATTCTGACCTCGGGAATGATTTTCTTTTTCTTTTTCTTTAAGGAATAGTATATAATAAGTGTTTTTAGTAGATAAAATATAAAAAAAATAACGTAGAATATGATGTGTCATCCACGTCAAGCAAGTGAGATACACACACGGTCGGAGGGGTTTAAAATATAGATTTTGAACAAGTTAAAGTGTCCTAGATGAAAAAAAGTGAAGTAGGAGGACCAGCAGACAAAGTGGCATAAGTATAGGTGTCATTTAAGCCATACTGCCAATTATAAAAGAACATACTATGCGAAAGACAAGATACCCTGAGGAAAATTAAAACAGCCAGCCTGGTTTTGGAAGCCCCCTTTTCCTATCATCAAACAAATTTGTAGGCGCCTCAGGAAGTCCAGATCTCTTTTCCCCTCACTTTCTCGCCAGGCCTCTACAAATTTCTCCCAAGCTCTAGTTTAGAGACATTTTATCCATTGTACCGGCTAAGAACCTTGGGAGTCCTAAATTTCTCTCCCGCTATAGATGGCGATCTCTTCAAGGTCGGTTCTGTTCTGAGAAAGATACAACCCCCTGCATAAGTTTTGGCAGTTACTGGTGGACGACCATTTGAAACTTCTGAATCTTTCTTGATGACCGAGTTAGACCACCAAGCTGCACTGGTTCCTCTCTTTCAAAGATCATCGGATAACTAATTCACAGTAGGCGTATTATTTTCAGACTTGAGCTCCCAGCATTTGTCAGGTCCAAACATGATCACCATTAGCAACTAAAATATTGCTATAATTAGTTACAGAATCTGTCTTCGTAAACCCAGCATATAAGAGAGATATGTGAAGTGCTGAACCTTCTGTAGTGATGCACTTCTTTGAGATGTGCTGGTAGTCAGCCTGAAGTAGTACGTAATAAATTATGGTGATACAATGTCAGCTCTTCTCCAAGTATATCTATATATATTATACAAAGCATCTCATAAAAATTTTAAAAAAAATCATCGAGTTTTCCCTTAGTGTTTGATATCATTGCTGGCTGTCCAATAACTATCAATAGACTCAACCCACATCCCCCAAAAGCGACAGAAAAAAAAAAAAAAAAAAAATACTCTATGAAATGCCTTCAATAAATTCTTGAACAATGAAAACGCCCAAAACTAGCAAGGACCCAAGCAGCTAAAACTTAAATCAAATACTAGATATAATTGATGTTGATAATATGCCAGCTATAGCAAACCGTTTCACTTGGTCAAAAGGTAGGATGTCAAGAAAATTGGGCAGAATATGATGCGACGAAGTCTGGCTATTATCTTTTTGTGATATGAAAATAACTTCGGGGTATTTGATCACTATAATATGTTAGTTACTTTAAGAGGTTTGTAGGAGGCCATAAACCTTTTATATACTCCCTCCGTTTCAATTTAGATGAGGTACTTTAACTCGGCACGGAGTTAAAGACAAAAGAAGAAATTTTTGAAACTTATGGTCTTAAAAACTTAAGGGGGTAAAAGCTTTGTGGGACCATGACATTTGTGTGGTTATAAAAGCTTCTCATTAAAGGTAAAATGGGTAAAATGAAGAGTTTAAAGTTGAATTATTTTCAAATTTAGAAATGTGTCATTTATTTTGGAACAGACTAAAAAGTAAAGTACCTCATCTAATTTGAAACGGAGGGAGTATTTCTTATTTTGCGAAAGGCATTAGAAATATTCAGATATTATCTCACTGGCCTTGGAACATAACATTATCTGGTTCCGCTACATATGTTCTGTGGAGAAAGTAGCAAACTGGCAAAGCTTCCCTTAAGCAATTCAAGAAAAGCATATGTTGCCCAGGTTCCTTCTCAGTGCCAATAGCCTAAACAACAAGTGTCTACTGCCTGACGACAAATATGGATTCTAACTGAACTCTTATAATACAAAAGAGGAAGCTTCTGTGTGATTATGTGGAAGCCTTGAGATGTGAAGAGGAATTGTGCAAGGCTAAGACCACAAATAAAAGGTAATCAGTTGCTGATGCTAATACTGCTTTTTTTCTTCAGACAACTAACTCAACAGAGAGCAAGGAGTAAAATTTTCAGGATAAATGATCAAATAGGGAGGATGATCACTAAGTACAATTGAGCAGTAGGAGTGTCTACTCACATTTGTTAGTGAAGATGAAATTTATAACACACTGCTAAGTGGCTAAGCATAAAGCTCCATGTCCTGATTGTTTCCAGCAGAACTTTACCAATAAAACTGGCTCTTAGTGAAGTCACAGTAAATTGCATCTTTCAACAATCTTTTGTAACCATTGGCGGTGAGCTATCTGCTGCTCTTAATTCTACCACTATCATTTAGTTCCTAAGGTGAAGACATTACAAGGACTTCCAGCCAGTATCATGAATGAACTTCATTTACACACTGATTTTCAAGATTATCACTAACATAACCGCCCATGAGATCTTTGATCAGTAATTGTCAGAATGCTAGTGGGAATGAAATAGCATTACAGATAGAGGACTTAGTGCTTTATTTATTTTTGATAAGACAAGATGGAGAAAGACTTCTATATAAGGGGTAAACTCATAAGATGCCAAAAGAACTATAATAAGCTTGAAGCCATGAACTATGGCACCTAAGTTTACGATGATTTTAATGGTAATCTGCATATTATCTGTAATGCTGCAAAGCCAAAAGCTTTGAGTACATCCATTGAAAAAAACAGTTTTCTTATCATAAGCTTGAAGCTGTGAGCTATGTCCACCTTCATTGGACCTATGTTTCCCACGATTTTATAGTAATCCTGGGAGTTGAGTTAAGGGGATTCTATGCCTCCTTACCTGTTCCACTCACCGTTGAGGCCTTCACATGTTTGTTCAACACAAATATTGCTCAGCAGGAATTTAATTTCCTCCCTGCATTGGACATGTTTTTTGTGGGTTGTCTCTTCATTGGTGTTTGCTGTTAATGAGAAGTCCATCCATACTCCTCGTCAAACAGGTTGTAGATCAATTTGGAGACCTGGTTCATTCCTAATATGCCAAAAGTGCAAAGGATTTTGCTGATTTACCTGTTGATGATACTCAAAGATCAGCCATTGGTGGTTTTCAACAGGCACACCGTTCCTGCCAAATATTAGGCACCCAGCTTATCTCTTCCGAGCTGGATCACTGATGTTGCAAAAAGCTTGCAGAGAAAATCTTAGGTAAAATACGAACTTGATCAAATAAGGGATCCAGGGTGGCTAAAGATGGTAAGCTTGTTTTGTTTGGTATCCACACATACTGGTATCCACACATACTGGTTTAGTCTCTTCATATTGCCTAAACAGAAACAGGTTATCAGAGCTATCTCACAACTGTTCCAAAAATACTGCTATTCTTAATCAAATTTGGAATATCTTCTGATAAGGATTCTTACTGCAATTAATGGATGCATTCAGTGTTAACTTAGAAATAAGAAATTTTGGGCAGTCTCAGTTCCTCATAATTGCTTAATTACTCATGGAGTTAAATCCTCTAGAGTACCAGATTTTTATTCATTATCAAATTGCACATGGTTGTAATATTTCTGTATGCTATAGTTCTTCGCATCCTTTAGGACCATGGCACTAGGTTTTCTCTACTAATTGCTGCGACAGCCATATTTGACTCTAAAAGTAGCGGATTCGACTGTGGAATATCGCTGGCAATAACCAACTAGAGTCAGAGCAATGCTCAACTTTGGTGGGGCTTCTAATGGTTCGTTTACCATGTATAATTCCACAAGGCAGAGGCCTCTAGCTTGGCTACAGTATTTTGTTTCGCGAATTGTATTTCAAGGATGACTTCATTCTTTGGCTTGCTATTCTAGATAGACTTAAGCATGACTCAAAAGTTAAAAATTGTGGATGCTGATAGTTGTTCACGTAACAAACATCCTGAAAATGTAGCACAACTCTGCTTTCAAGTGAATAATCTCAACCCATCTGGCAGCATCTCTTAAAACGGAGGCTAGTACATAGAGATATTTGCCTTTGCACGGAGAACTCAATTGGTTGAGTCAGAGTACTATACGAAGAGAACCGCGCAGCTGTACCCTGAGGTTCTCTTAGGTGACAATTTACTTCCTATGATAGGAGTGGAAGGAATCAAAGAATGCTTCAAAATTAAGCTCAAACAACTCAAACCCCCTTTATCTGTGATCCAAGAGAAGTTGAGTACTTGCCACAAATCGAGAATTAGAGATAAACGGGAGATGAACTTAAGATTGGTCTTTTCTCTACATATTTTCGATCTGTAAGGACTAAAGAGTATCCAGTCTGAGCTCCATGTGTATTTATTTGTTTATTCGTGTGTCTGAGTGTGTGTGTGTGTGTGTGTGTGTGTGTGTGTGTGTGTGTGAGAGAGAGAGAGAGAGAGAGAGAGAGAGAGAGTAGTAAACAACCAGATCAGACCACAATGCCTCACGGAGGACAAATTGAGCAATCAGTTGGTTTATAGCAGCATGTGAAATTCTACCATGTCTAGAACTATATCAACAATGGGATATTAAAAGTGCAAGGCAAGAATAATTATACAAGAAAAGAGAGGGAGAGAAAGAAACATACTGTCGCTGAAAGCCCCCAAAGACTTGAGGAAACAGCTACTGGACAGAGAAGACTGCAGAAATTAACGGTCGCTGACGCTGAGGAACAGTGTACTCAGCACCGGTGCACTTGGAACACTGCTTCTTCTTCACTTGCAAAGTGAATTGTGCACATGGGGGCCTCGATGTTATCCTCCAATATATTTTTCCTAATGGGATCTGAATTACTATGATCTTATTGTTTTCCATGAGCATAAAATCAACCACCAAATACATAGCTACTGTTTTCTCTTCTTTTTTTTTTTTTGCTGTTGGTCTCGAAAAAGAAAGTCATTTCTAAAAGAATAAACGGAAATTAAGAAATTAAACTTAAAATTTTACATGTAAATGAAGATTAAATTCACAAGTCTTAGATACTTTTATTTATTCACTATGATAATTTATTTCTTGTCAGACATATATAATTTCCATTGCGAATTTCATTTATTCACTGAAAACCTATAAGAGGAATATGTATAATCCATTTTTTGGGCAACGTGCATCTTTATTACTGTCCAGTTATTGCCAAGGAAACTGTCCAAGAAAAACATGTTAGACCAAATTCTCCCAGAAACTTATCATTCTTTCTTTTAAAAAATAAATTCCCACTCCTTCCCACCTTCCCAACAATAAATAAAATGAAAAAGAATTCTCGGACATGCTAAATGCATGAACATCACAGCAAAATTGAATAAAAGATTTACAGCTTCTAAGAAAATACGTAGCTGCGCAGATTTCAACATGAATTAAAGATAGAATTGAATTATTTGTTTCACCGACAGACATTAGACCCATAAATATTACTCCGATTGCCTTGATCTGTAACGCCCCACCGTGCCTGTATATATTGACTATCTACTTTAACTGAACCTAAAGAAAGGAGGACCATCTCTTTTATTCTAATTGCCAAATCAGAGGCAAAATATTTTTCCTTTAATTAGTAACTTCAAGACTGAAGTCACCGACAAAGTACACACACAATCTAGAGTAAAATTTATAAAGAACAAGGAAAACCAGAAAAAGACAAGATAAGACAAAGTCTAAGTATGTTGCAACAAAGCTCATCTCTTGTATTTATGGAAACAAAGATTTTGTAATCATTTGGTACCATCACAAAAGATTGGTCGTACAGCAGCCTTAAAATCTTCATAAAACCTTTGCTCTGAGAACATGGAGGCTCGCTTCCTGGCAGCAGCAGCTATCTCCAGCCTCTTATTCTCTGGCATCTTAATGACTTCAATAATGGCTTCAGCGTATTCCTCCACGCCCTGGGCAAGGAATCCAGTCTGCTTCCCATTTTCTGGTAACACAATATCCATCCTTGGTCCAGCTGAATTATGTGCTGAACGAAACCGAAAAATTTGAAGTCAACTAAATAAGTCAGAGACTCAAATACAGAGCAAGACAGAAACCACACAACATGACTAACCAATTGGTATCGCGCCAGCAGCCATGTATTCAACTACACTTATGCCGAAGTGCTCATCTGTCATGGAATGGATTCCAGCTACAGCACCACCCAACAGTCTGACCAAGTCACTGCACCAACAAAGATTAAAAAACAAAAATGAAGCTTCTTAATCATGTCTATCATGTATTGAAGTGATGGAAATGGATAATCTACCTAAACATTTCACATTCTATGTCTAAGCACACAGAGTAACAGAACTACCAAGATATCCAATCCAGCTGGTTAAGCAATTTACACCCATGCATAAATATATATCCTCTTTGTGTATTACATTACCTGAACATCCAACCAATTTTTATTCCTTTTTCTTTATTTTTATTTGGTAGTGGTGCTGGGGGTTTTGTGTAGGGGGGGGGTTGGGGGGGGGGGGGGG